CACATGTTAGAGGACCCCTATGGATGAAAATGGAGAGCTCTTTCACCATATATTCAGCATTCCACAAGATTTTGGGAGAGGCTACCTAAGCTTAGAAAGCTCAAGGAGGAAGAAGATGAATAGTAGACAGAGAAGTTGATATTTTTGCATTTTCTTCCGTCCTTTCACTTGTAGTTTATTGTAAGACTTGTTTAAACTTCATTTAATGTCTTTAATGTCATTTTGTTACAAGTTCATTTCATGTTTAGTCTTACATTTTGGATTTCACCATTAATGCATTTAAGCTTTCTTCATTTCAAGTTTTAAAATAGGTATTAAATATTTTTCTTCATAGTTTAAGATTTTTTGCATTAATTTATGTTCTAATCTCCATTTCAATACCATGCCTCCTACATTATGCATGTCTTTCCTTTTATGATGAGTAGCTAGAGTTTAAGTTGGCTAATCCAAGGGAGACCTCCTCTTGGACTTGCCATTTCAATGCATTTTCTTTCCCTCTCGTAGTGTACATTGATTCAGTTTGATTGGGGTTGAGTGTGGACGTGGTAGTGAGTTCTTGATACACCATAGGCATTATCACAGGGTATGCTTGAATCCTTACCTCCATTTTGGTCCCGCACTTCCTACAAATCAATCAAACATCTAGACACCATTGGAGGAAGTTCTTGAGCTAATTTGGCATTCCCATTGGAATGACCTCTTTGGATTAGCCAACATTTGTTTTTATTGCATTTTATCAAAATCTTCATTCACCAAAACACCAACTACAAGATTTTACACTTTTCACTTTTCACAAAAATCACCTTCAACATAACTCTCTTCCTTCCCTGAAGAGACAACCTTGGAATACCCATTCCAAGTAAAACACGACATTGCAAGATTCTCTCTACGGTTGAGGAGCAATTTTGCACACACACACACACACATTTTGTTCATTTCACACACCATTATTCCGTTGCCCTATTTCTTGCATCATTCCAAGGGAGAGTGACACTCCCCTATCCCTATAAGTCATACACACATTGAGGATCAGGATGATGCTAGGAGATTAGGAACAACAACGGAAACCACCAAACACTCGCCCCTGCTAACTCGTGATATATATATATATATATATATATATATATATATATATATATATATATATATATATATATATATATATATATATATATATATCCATTCTCATTTCCACCCACCTATAAGTTAATTTCAAAACTCAGTAACCCGCTTTTTTTTCTTTGTCCAATAAGATAAGATCTATTATCTTTGTGTTCTTTTCGATAGCTTTTGTTACAATTGTGATATTTTTTTTGTTACATTTGTGATGAATTTTGTTAGATCTAAATGTTTGTGTTGTGTTAGCTGTTGAGAGTTTTTGTTTCAGATCTATGGTATGTTAGATACAAGGTTTTTAGATATTGTTTGTTCTGATTTTTTTTTTTTGTGTTAAATCTGCAATTTTTATGTGCTACATCTGATTTTTTGTGTTTGATATGCAATATTCTAAATTTTCTAATTTTATGCTACTTTTTTTTTTTAGGGGAAATTTTATACTACTTGAATATGGTCTTTGTTGGATTCTGATTATAGTGTTAGATATGAATTTTGTTGATTTTTGAAATTTTTCTATTTGAATATGATTTTTGCTCTTTGAAAATTGTTGGATGGACTTTTTGCTTAAAAAGTACTAGATAAACTTCTTTACCTACTTAGTATACCAAATGCTAGTCGTTATTGATGAGAAGAATTTTGTGGTAATTTTTAGTTGGTGACATGTAATTTTTTTTATTTTTGAATTATTTACAATGTTGGATTATGTTAGGCTTGGGCGAGGGTGAAGGCAGGGACGGGGTGAGGGCGAGGGTGGGGGACGGGGTGAGGGCGAGGGTGGGGGACGGAGATTACAAATTTATCCACGGATGGGGATGGGGATTGGGATAGGGATAGGGATGGAGATGAAAATAAAAACTATACCTGCTAATCTAGGTGGACCAGAAATTGACGAAATTTTTTAAACAAGTACAAGAATAAAAACTACACCTTCCTCCCTACTTTGATTCACTGTCATTCCTAACCGGCAATTTAGGCAAATGGTAGTTTGTACCAGTTCATCTCTCCCGGCAGTGATTAAGTTGGATAGTGACCCCAATTTTTCTGTATACAAAATAATAGAAAAATTGTACTTTTTTCTTAGAGATAAAGACTATCTTAATCTTGATAAGACTAATCAATTATTATGAAAATCTTTGATATCCGTACAATTGCTGTTTTCTGTGTATAGAATATCATTATAAGCCGGAATAGATTGCCTTTCTTGTTTACTTATAAGGTATTATGATAATATTGAAAATATTTCATTATTTAATGTATTAACAGCGGATCCTGGTTTTTGTCCTTTATTGGCGACTGGGGACGCATCGAGCTGTTCAAATTTTGTTAAAAAAGTTTTGATTTTGTCATAGCCACGATGAATAGTGAGCGTCTTGCAAATATTGCTCTAGCAGTTTGGTTTTATGTTCCATTGACAAAATTTGTGTATGATTTGATTTATGATTATAATCTGATGTAACATATGCACATATATAAGACTCACGGATATATTATAATTATTATTAACTATTTATTCGGTAAATAATTATTTTTGTTTTAATTGATCTAATTCATACTCATGTTAAGGGGTGTAATTATTTTTTGTAATTTTAACCCCTTAACTTATTTTCTCAAATTCGCTCTCTCCCTAAATTTGACGAAACTCATGGTCCTAAATTTAATATTCAGGCCAAGTATCGGGAGGATTTAAAAATTCATGATTGAATTTTCAATTCAAATATAGAGTTTGGGAGGTCTTTTAAACTATTTTATTCAAACTAATTTTGCCAAACCCCCATTCCTTTTACAAAACAGCCCCCCCAAATGTTAATTTTTGTGTTGGAGAGTCTGGAGAATTCCAGAAAGGTCGATGAAAAGGATGAGTGGGGAAAGTGCACGGAAGAGACGGAGCAATTGGTTAGAAGTAGTGTCATCAATTGGTAAAGTGGGGTCATCAGTTCTTACTCCTTATAATATTCTTATTTTATATATTATTTATTCTTCTTCTTCTTCTTTTATATTATAATCAAAAGTTGTCTAGACTAATTTATTTACATTTTAATTGATCCTTTCTGCAGTTTGGTCAAAGATAGATCATTCATATCGGGACTAAAAAATTCATAAGCAATAAATTTTTCATGAACTCAACAATATCCCGACAAATTGTTCATTAACTCAATTGAATAAAAATTCTGAGTACAAAACTATTTATATTTGGCTCTAGTTTCGTTCATGCATATAGAGTTAAGGTGGAATTTGTGTGATCTTTCTCAACTCTCATGACAAAAATTTTGTATAATATTATTTCTTGAATTAATCATCTCAAATATTTTTAACACTAATTTAACCTACATAAAGTCACATGAAATATTCGAGGTTTTCAAGATTAATGTTGCTGCAACAATTTCGTGGAAGTTGCATCTTTTCCTCCGAAGCTTAGTGTTGCGTCAACGTCATCTACGAGAAGTCTAAAAAATTTGGGTCACATAGTCATTGATCATAAACTTTCGGTTCTTCTTATCCTCTTTTTTTTTTTTTTTTTCCAAAATTTTTTGTCATTTAATTCTCTCTCTATCTCTCTCTCTTTCTCATATAGAATAACTCGATTGATATAATTAAAAAATTTAAAGACTCAATCGAAAAGACAGTTAAGTAAAAAACTTTTGATTAACTATAATACCATTAATAAAACAACTAATTCTTATACTTTCTCTTGTATAGTTAATGAAAATTTTAAATCTTACAATTATTGTTGTAATAATTATTGTTTATAGCTATATCTATCTATATCCATATCCATACTAATAATAAAAGTACCTTAACATGAAAATTTTAAATTTACTATTATACCCTTATAAAAAGTTATAAATGCTAATATATTATTTTGTACTTTTATATCAAAATCACTATTATATCATTCTTTTTCATTTCATAACCTATATTTATGTGTATATCTATGACCACATTACCCTTAAAAGAATATTGGTTTGAATTCTTTCATTTTTTTTTCTTTTAAAATGTCCAAGAGTTTTTCTTGTCCACAAAAAAAAAAAAAAAATTGGTTTTCTTCCCACTATTTCTTCATAATGTTTATAGCTACGAACAATAAATAGATATATATATTTTTTTCAATGAGTTAAGTTGTATAATTTTTATCTAGGCTATACACATTCTGGTATTGAATATTCAATGACTATATATATATATATATTTTTTTTTTTTTTGGGGTAGGGAGAGGGGAGGGGGACTTGAACAAATATTCAATGACTATAAATTATGGAATAAACATACAAATGAATGTCTTACTTCCCAATTGAACATGAAGAATTTACTGTCTCCATATTTTGGCTGTACACATTCTGGCATTGAGAATATTCATAAACGAATAAATGTATATCAATTCCCAATTGAACCTGAATAATTTCAAGTCTTTCAATTTTATTATTTCCTTCCATTTGTCATTTGTTGCTAAATCAACTTCCTTATTTTTGCAGCAGGAACAAAGCGAATATACAAGGTGGAGCAGTGGGTATCCCCTAAGTTGCAATTGCAGTGGAGATCCTACTTTGGTCACACTTATGGGATACATTTCTACTGCCTTTGCATTCGAGTGTGCAGGGGTGGAACCAAAATCCATTTCCAGTGGTGGCAATCATCAAGTTTAAAGGAATAATTGAAAAACAATCATCAAAATTTGTCGTATCTTGCAAATACGAGTGTTTTGCCATTGACACTATCCAAACTTTGAAGTAGATTTTCAATTGTACTCTTTAACACTTGATCCTAGTTGGAACATCATAATGACAATGTATATTCCATTCCATTCCATTTCATTTCATTCACAAGAGTGTTTTATTTCGATATTCATTCCATTCCATTCACATGAGTATTATATTTTCATGTTCATTCCATTTCCACTAAAACAATATGAGGTTGCATGATTCATTTACAAATCGCCCACTCCACTACTCATCTTCTTTGTGCACCAGATTTCTAATAGAACATTATTGAACCCAAAGAATCAGCATTAAGAACTTCAGTTGTAGGCATAAGCACATATAGATTTGGGCATATAATTGAAGAATCCAAAAGAGATGTACATTCAAATTCAGTTCAAATTAGAAACTTACTCAAACATCAAGTCCTTTAATTATTTGTAAATATTACATTCTCCATAGCTTGATCAACACACATTCACACACACACACATCAAACCCAACTGACCATACTCATGTTTTACCAACATGACAAGTAACCAGGACACCAAACAAACATTCACAAAAAAACACACAAAGTGAAAATGAAAACAGTACTTAACCATATGCCTCTAGTACTACATGGCTTTAAGAACCATGCAAACTGGCAGCAAATGGACATGAAACCCCATTAGATTCACGCACAAACTCCTTCACTAGTGCTCTTAGGAAAGGAGATTTGAGTGGCATTTGGGCATTTCCAGCAGCGAACGATATAGAGAATCGCTCAGCGATGAAGGAAATTTAGATGACCATGTTTTAGCTCAACAGTGACAATTTTTTTAGCTTGCCACTAACTATTTTGGGTTAGTGGCCAATATTTATTTTTGCCACAAAACATTAGGATTTAGTGACGATATAAATTTCGTCACCAATACTTTCGCCGCTAACAAACTTATTTCTTGTAGCGCATCCAGAAGAGTTGATCGAGGATTCTGCTCTGAAATTTCGAATGATTGGATATTTGGAATAACAGGAGCTGTGCAGAAAAATAAAACAACCACTGAATTTTATAAACCCACAATCAAGCCTATGACCATACATAAACATTATATCCAAAGCAGAAAAACATATACTTGCACTTTCATGTCAGCAGAAAAGCTTCAAGCCAATCAAAATACGAAAAAGATCAATAAGCCTTTGATTATGTAATAATCAAAGATCAAAATTTTGTTCCGAGGCTTTGTTCTTTTTAATTTCATAATCTATGTCTATTACCATCATTTCCATTGCCAGTTGTGAGCAAAAATTCTTGAACTATCAATAATAGCTGACACTAAATGCTTTTCTTTTTAATTTCGTAACAAAGTAATGATTTTCATTTTAAACAAAACAAATAACTCCCCAATCTTGCAAACCAGCAATAGACCTAAACCAACAAATCATGATCAATTTGTTGGACTAACGCAGAATTTTAGTTATAAAATCTGTTTTTTGATCAACTTTGAACATAAATTAAAGTGAAACTCGCTCATCGTTTCGAATAAACGTTCGTGGATTTGTGTAATGTTCAATCACAATTCTTTGCAGATCATTTATTTATTGCAGTGTTACATGTTACTATTTTTCTTTGACTGTTCTTGCTTTGCTAATTATTACATTAGTATATTTATGTGTTTCTATTTAGCATATTTCTAAATTTAATATCATCCCAGAAATCTTAATAAGTAATTTTGTCATATTGAAGAATCCACACCAACACAATTTACTTGAAAAACAATGAAACCATCATCATAGAATGGATAAATAAATTTCTGAATCTGAAAGTCTTTGTTTCTTATCAAAAAATCCATGCTATGCAAACCTACTACATTCAATCAGAAAATCAGCACAACTAAGCCCCCTCCCCCCAACTAACAAAAAAAAATTAAATAAAATAAATAGAGCAATGTTATGCTACACAAATATTTACCCAAATTTTGTATTTCAAATCAATGTAGGTGGTTGGATTAGTGGGGTCCATTAATTCCACAAAATATTCAATGCAATGCATGTGATTTTGACACATCATTTATGATACAAGATTTGTGCAACACAACTTTATCTAAATAAATAAACAATAAAAAAGAAAGAAAATAAGCATGCTAACTTTATAGTGACCTTACACACTTATCAAACCAAAAAACACGATAACCAACATTTACACATCGCCCCAATTACGCTATAACTCTTTCAGAATAAACATATATCTTATCCATGTTCCACACACACACACACACACACGTGATTATCAATGGGTTGTGTATCGTTTCGAGTATTATCATGTCATATCATAATTTACCCACACTAATACCCGATTTAGCTATAATCATTTCTAGTTGGTTTCGTGTCAAGTTCATGCTCGATAGAAATTATTGCTTCATGCCTTATTTATCTCTAATCGACCCACTTTAGTCCAATCAGACAAGCCCAGATTCAGACCAAGCCTAAGCCTAGATCATGGGTTGAGCTCAAACCAATAAAAAACAAACCAGGCTTAGCTCAAGGTTACAGTCTAGTCCAAAACTCGAGAGTTTACGAAGCGTAGTGCTTTAGTAGCTTGACCTTCACTTCATCGCCATAGCAAGAGCCCTGTGTCTATAAATTGTAAACCACCTACATATAGAGATAAATTTCACATACTTCACTTTGTGCGTACTATAACTCTCTCTCTTCCTACTACTTTGTACTCTCTCTTTAATAGAATTCCCTTGCCACTATAGTTAGGTCCTCAGACTCAACCACTCAATCTTTAATTATAAATCCACTTTTGTGCATCCTCCCAACCATTTACCACCGGCTAAAGCTAACCATCATAAACATGAATCTCACTCATAACACATACATATTCAAAGTAAAATGTAAATAAAACAGTTAAGAGATATACCAGGCACAGACCGAGGTTGGGATTGACCAGGCACAAAAGTGGGTCCACAAGGTCTCCCAGTCCGCACTCCTCCTCCTCCACCAACCACACACCCTTCACTTGATTCCACCCTTGTAGGCCTCACACCCTGACCACCATGTTGGTGTGCCCGGTACGCGCCACCACCTTGACGTCTTTGACCCAGCCTATTACCCCGCTGCTGATCACCGGTCTGGGTGGGAAACCAACCCCTACCCAATCCTCTTCCACCTCCACCACTTTGATGCTGACCCCGCTGATGGTGCTGGTAACGTGGGTAATTCCCACCTCTGCCACCACCGCCACCACGATTACTTCCGGTGCCGCCGCTACCACGGCCAGACCGGCCACTTCCCCGATTCTCGCGACCCCTCTCCGTTGAAACTTCTAAGAAAAAATACATTCTTCGGTTCTCACTACAGGCACTCCGTTGTGCGGTGCTTTAAATAGATCAAGGTGTGTGTGAAATGACACAAATAGCCTTTCGTGGTGACCAAGTATGGAACAGTGCTCGTAATTTAAGAAAAAATAAAATCATAATAAATAAGTAGGTAGATCTCACTTATTCTTATAACTATTGTGTTATGTCATTTAATAACTATTTAAGTGAGATTCACTTTACTCATTTATAAATTTATTATTAGATATTAACACAACGAGTCAATAATGACGTAATATCACTATTACACCCAATATTTATTCGTAAATTAGTAGTATCAATTTTATTTATTAACACAACACAATACAAAATCGAAAATAGAATAATCAATTAACACGAATAATAAATGAGTCAAATTAAGATTAGATGTATATAATATGATTAATTGATACTGCAAATAAAAAACAAGTATTTTATAATTTTAAAATTTTTTTTACATAGTATTATATAAGTTATTTTAAAATTAAATATTTTTTTTATTAACATGAGTAACAACATGAACTAAAAATGAGATGGCACAAAAATAACATTGCACGACATGATTGGATACCCTTACCTTGAATTCAGGCGGACATATATAACCTATAATTAAAAAAAACAAAAACAAAAAAAAAAAACCAAACTTATAACTTTTTCTTCGACTATTTTTTTTATTTCTGAATCCATATTAATTAGTTATTAACAGAAATTATTAATTTATGTAGTGGGAGAATCTGGAGAATTCCACAACGTTCGATTTGTTACTTTTTTGTGCAAGTAACATTTGTGGGGATACTTTTGCTGGGTGGAGCATTGATTCCTTTTTGTATGATAGATGAGAGAGATTATGAGGTAGCTTTTTTTCCACGGTTAGTAAGATTTACATTATTACTAGTTGGCGTCTTCTGCCCTTTCTGGCTTTTATCTTTTTAGTCCAAGAATTATTATAGTTTTTAACTTTAGTAGATATTGTTCATGCCGGAAAATACGAAGTAATAAAAAAATTATCAATTATAAATATATTTATATTCACTCTTAAAATTAAATAATAAGCATAAAAGAGAGAGAAAAGAATTTTAATACCAATTGTATTTTATACTGTTTTATATTATAGAATTAACAACAAGTATTAATCCTAGGGGTTAGCTTAATAGTAGTTCAACCACAGGATTTTCAATATCCCATGAAACGTACCCCATTGGCTATCACCTATAGAATTATTCTCTTGTGCGGAAAAACGGTTTTACTCAATATCTAGCATTAATTTGGTACATAAGTGAGAAAATACTGCAGTTATCTATAGGATGAGTATATTTGAGATCATAGGATGAGTTTATTAAAATTTGTCATGTTTTATATTATAGAGTAGGAGTAACCTATGTCTGAAGACATGTTGCAACGTAAGTGAACAGTTATGAATTTTGGGGGGGGGGGGGGGGGGGAGAAAATTCAACGTGAATTATTTTGAAAGAGATATTGGTGTCCGTTTGATAATCTATTTGAATCCGTCGAATGAACTTATTAAAATCTGCTCGATTTTATATTATAAATTTCAATTTTTTAAATTGATTTGTGTTAGAGAGAGATAGAGGGAAAGAGAATAGGATATGAGACGTTATGCAGGATGTGAGAAGTTCAAAGTCGTTATCACATGTACCATGCCCAATAAACTATTTTTAATTTCATAAATTAAGATTTCTAAAATTAATTTCACTCTAATTTGATTGTGAAACATTTCAAGAGCAATAGAAGTTGAGTCGTGTCATATTATTTTTGGATCATATTGTTTCATATTTGTATTAAGTAGTAGTCAATTATAATCTTACCAATTTAATTAATTGTGTTAAATATTTTTACAATAACCTATGCATAATCCTATATGAAATATTCAAGGCTTTCAAATTGTTGCCATATTTTTTACAATTATAATCTTCCAACAAAACTTAGTAGTGCTGCGTCAACGTCATCTACCATAAATGATGAAAAAGATGGGTCATATAGATCATAAACGTCCGGTTATTCTTCTTCTTTGGTAAATATATGATTTCATTCGCAAGGATAGTTCAATCGAGTTGGTTTAATCGATATTTATAATTTGGGAAAGTCTACGGTACTGTCTTCTGTATTATCAACTTTTTAAGGTGAAAGTACAATCTTTTGAGGTATAAGTTACAACTTATAAAATCATAATCGATCACAGTGTTTTAGGATTGATCATGAATGCTTTTAAATATTGAGTTACAACTTTTAAACGTCAAATAATAACTCGTAAAAGAGAAGTTACAATTGTTTAAAGGAATCTCATAGTCGATCATGGTTGAACTTTCCTCACTCAATTATAATTTTACCTTTAAAAGGTATAACCTTGCTATTAAAAACTGTAATTTTCCTTTTATGGGCTTGTTTGATTAGATAAATAATCCAGTATAATACAATACATATTGACAAAAAATAAGATTAAATAGGATATTAGAATAATACATAATTTTATCTAGTATTTGGTAATACACATTATAAAACGTTGGATAGTAGTTATTTAATCCAATTGGTTGTTTGGTTAGAAAATTATTTCACTGTATTAATGTTGAATTAACAAAAATAACTTTAATCATTGTTTGTAACATTTATAATAGTTTGATTTTATCATTTGGTGGTTATAATAGAAAATGTATAGAATAATACGTTTGAGTTAAATTATAATATTACATTTTCTGGTGATATTAAAATATCTCCATAATACAGATCTATCGTACAAAAAAATATGATAAGTATACATTTTTGAAATTAATATGATATCAAATTTACTTACCAAATAAAGTGTTAGACCCGATTAAATAAAAAATAATATAATCTAATATATAATCTCTTCATAATACGTATACGTCTACCAAACGAGCCATATAGGTATTTATTATTTACTTTGCAGAAATGCAATGTGACACTAACTAGTGAAAGTTCCTGATCATTTAAAAACATATCTGCCGTAAACAAAAAAGAATCAAAAGAATATCTCTTCCCTTTAGATTTTTTAATACAAATATGTACCATCAACAAATCACAGGTGAGAATCCCATATCATACAAGAAATAAATTAAATGAGTCTTAATATACCATAAATAGATTTATTAGCCAAGTGATGAATTAGCAAAAATTCAATTATGTCCCAATTATTTTGCATAAGTATGGATAGTATATTTTATCATTGATCTTATTAATTGCTCAATTTATAAATATCGTAGAAGTCCATGCGATTAGATACCAAAAAACCTGATAAAAGACATTAATGTAGTTTTTTGGTCTATAAATATAAATACGATATATCAAACTACTAGTAATTGCCCGTGTCTGAAGGCACGGCGTAACGAAATCAAGGTAGTGTCATGCAATCTAAAACTCAAAAAATCCTATATTACCTAAAGACTGTTTACAACCTAAAACAATCTGTCAATTTGAAATTAAGGCAGTTTATACAAATATTCAGAAATTTTCTCTAAAAATAAGAACCCATAAAAATGTAACACTGTCTACAGAACTTTACAATCATCATAATTCACTATATCACCACAATAATCAATACATACCCAATCATCAACACATATCCAACCACCAAAACAAAAGGCTAATCCCTACTAATTTTAAGAAATTTGGGCAGAGTTTCCTCTAAAAATAGAAATCCAAAAAAATCTAAACATGTCTATAAAATTTACAATAATTCACTATACCACTACAATAATCAATACATATCCAATCATCAACACATATCTAACCACCAAAACATCAAGCTAATCCCTACTAATTTCAAAAAATTTGGGCAAAGTTTCTTCTAAAAATAGAAGTTCAAAAAAATCTAAACCTATCTATAAAACTTACAATAATTTATCACACCACCACAATAATCAATATATATCCAATCATCAACACATATCCCACCACCAAAATATCAAGCTAATCCCTATTAATTTCAAGAAATTTGGACAGAGTTTCATCTAAAAATAGAAGCCCAAAAAAATTTAAATCTGTTTATAAAACTTACAATTATGCATATCACCACAATCATCATAACTATGTTTATCCAAACCACCAAAACAAAACCATCATAACCATGTATAATTAGTTAACTGTACAAAAAACATAACACAAAAAATAAACACATGCACAAATAGAAAAACACTTTCAACTTCATCTTCATATCCTTTCATGTATACCTAAAAATATTTGAAATATAATCAATTATCAAAATATGTTAGGAAAAATAAAACAATTGTGAATCCGAAACATAGGTATAACCCGTGCCTGAAGGCATGATACAACTAAAAAAAGTCGAACATTGAATTTGAACACGAAATAACCAAGCATTATTCTCGGACACAACCTAACTTGCCATATATCATGTGTCATGAGTTTAGTGAAATGGGTCATTCTTGAATCTAATTCATTAAAATGCGGATTATCTGCACATCATTGTAAGTACTCTCTTTCCATCACAACCTTGAATGTCATTGTATCAATCCAAATTCACATCTTCCAACTAGGGGAATGTACAACAATCTAGCATTTACAAAGCCAGTTAAATTTAATACACGATAGGGATTTTAAAATTATAAATTTGAAAATAAAAAATAAACTATAATTTTTTGATGCCACCCTTGTGCTAAGGGCTGCCCAGCCCAGCGAGCAACCAACAGAAAAATGCCAAATAAATATTATATGCAAGAAGATTTATGTAGAGATAAGAGTGACAAAGAGTTTGCTTTTAACTTGTTTATGTTTGCCTCGATAAAGTATTCAAAACTTATATCCTAAATCCTAAATAAAAAAACTCTGATAATGCAGATTTTGTATTATTAGGGGATTACTGATGGGATTAGGGATTGCACACACCTTTTGTTTGACATTTAGCAGAAAAATGTCGACACAATGTTAAAAAGATGCAAGCTCCAATCAACGCCATAATTTATTTTAAACAAATGTCGACACAACTTTCCAAAAAATTCAGTTTG